ATGAGATGATTGGATGTGTTAACTTAGGCATATTAATGTCGAGTGTAGTCTCTGTTTTATTAGAACTCAGCACAAACTAGAGCAACATATGTTAAAAATTAATAAAGTGTAAATTCACACTGTTAACAGCAGGACTAAAGGGAAGGAGGTGAAGGAGCTCAGCTCCCAGCGTCTTTTATTACCTTCCCCCTCTCCCCTATTGATCAACACCAGCCTCTGATTTATAGGTTGCTGCTGCAAAGGCTGCTGGGTAATTACTAAGGCTGAAAAGAGATGGGGGAGTTAATATGGGAGATGAAGGTTGGCACTCACGTAGACACATACAGGTTTGAGCACATTTACAAAAAGTAGACACAAATTAACAGAGTAGCTAACACATACAACACACTCCCTCAATAGTTTGCACACACACACACACACACACACCCTGCTGCACTAATAGAGTGCAGGAAGTGTAGTGTGTCTGAGCAGAGAGGATCCACTAACATTCAACAGTATATCCACCACATTTCAATGTATGTAAATCAATATCGTAATATAGTGGCCGGGTGGGACTGAATTACACATCATACATCATGTAGAAGCTACGTTTATTTTCAGTGTTGATATACTGCACCAATGCTCAGTGCAGCAGAGGGTAGATTGCTGTTTTGAAAATCTGATTAAAATCAAATGTTTGGTTGTTTGAGCTGGATAAGCTCAGATCAGAAAGTTAGGTTTGTGATCTGTCAGTTAGTGGCGCTGAGCTTGTGCCTGAATCATAAACAGCATGGCTGTGAAATCCCATACACAAAGCAATGCTTGCACAAGGCTGCATCACTGTGTGTTCTGTAAGTGAGCTTCTGTGCGCGGGTCTGTTTTCTGCTTGTTTATCCTAGTATGCTATTGTGACCTTCCCTCTATGCAGTAAGTCACCTGACGTCAGAGCTGCTCTGTTGTTTGTTTGTTTATTTTGATGCTCTTTGCTGACTGCCACCCTCCCTTTGCTGTGCCCTCCAGTGAACAACCTGGCCCGGTCCAAGTACTGCTGATGCCTAATCAGGAGGAGGAAGGGGACCAGGCAACGCCCAACAAGGACGCTGCTCTGGGCCTAAAACCGCCCCCTCCACCCTATCGGCCCGCTCCCCCTCGACCCTCACTTACTCTCAGCATCCCTCATCCTTGTGCTCCTTCCAGCCAAGGTGAGGAGGAGGAGGGTGGATGTGTCGGGAGGAGAGGGGGGACGGGGGTGAGGTTGTGCGAGTTGCTGCAGGCAGGGGGTGTGAGTGTCAGACCTCTGGGGAAACACTTAGCCATCTCTCTGCCCTCGCTTCCTCTGCGTCTCTGGGATACACACACCACACACACTGCACACTCCACACATTTTGAACCCACACACACACACCCACCCTCTCCCCCTCTGCCCTCTGCTCCTCCCCCGTCTTCCCCTCTGGAAGCCTCTGGGCAAAATAAATCTCTCACGCCTCTGTGGCAGCCCCCCCAGTCCCATTCCCCTGCTGGCACTGCTCAGCATTGCCCAAGTCACGGCGCCACCACCGACACAGGCACACGTCATTGGTCCTCCTGGAGTTTGGACCGCCCTAATGCTGTGGTATCACCATACAACACACCCCCAGACCGCTGTGTTCCCATCAGGCAGCCGACATCCAGTCAGAGCTACAGCTACAGTTGCCAGTCCTCTCCAGGGCACTACAGTTCCCAGTATGCCCCAGGGCAACACACTGATACCTGCTGTGACCATGACGAGGCTGAGCTGTCTGAGCTTGACTCCCTTTACCAGGCCAGTCTACAGGCTGGAAAGACGGGTACGTATACACACACACACACACACACACACACACAGTCATGCATAAAACCAAGACCTATTGAAACTTTAAACTAGTGAAAAGTTTAAATTTACTGAAATGGGTTATGATTAATACATGAACAACTGTGGAACAAAATTTAAATTTGAATTGCTAAAACATGGTGTAGAAGAGCTGAAACAATTAGTCAAAATCCACAGCAATTTTGATCATTAATTGTGTACATCATTTATCAAGCAGTAAATGACATGCTTTGCAGAACCTGCTAGAGTATGTTCATGTTCCACCTGCTGTGTATGATTTCAGGTTGCAGCCCATCAGAGAGGCTCATATCCAGGGTGGGAGGGCAGGCTCGCTCCAAGACCCCCAACGCAGACATGGAGAGGAGTGTGTATGGGGCCGACTGCACCAGCACCCCCACCTACCTCAACAAGGTAACACCTACAGAATCCACCCACATGTTGGGCCATTAGCTGGATCCATTTTCCAGCATCTCACAGACATGTTATTGCTCTACAGCCAGTGATGTTACGAGATCTGCGTTTTGGGGTGGAGCCTGATGATGGAGAAAATTGGAGGCAAATTGGACGTAGCCTCAGTGGCACAGTAGTGGCCTCGCGCCGCGTTCGCCTAACTGCAACCCGCAGCTTTGTGAGTGTGACTTCCTGTGCTCTGCTGCCTCCTTGTGGCTGTGCTGTTAAGCTGCATCTGCCTGATGTCCTGTCATGGCACTTTACACATTGCTTTTCCCTTTGCTCTTCTCCCCTGCTGTTTGTCTTGTTTCTTCCTTTTGTCCTGCTGTTCGATTTCCTATCTGTCCCCCTGCTCTCCACTTCTCTTGCTTCTCTTTCCTCTGTCTCTCTCCAAGGTGAAGCAGGCTGATGTCAGTGCCTCTCCTTGCTTACTTCCTCTCTTCTGAGTCCCTGTTGCTATTCCACCACTCTCATCTCCTCTATCCTCCACCCTCCTCATCACCAACACCTTCTCATCACCAGCTCTCTCCACTGCTTCACAGGTAAACACTGTGCTGAGCTCACATAACGTTACACTTGTAATCTTTAAAGGAAAATAACAGTCTTCTGATAAAGGCCGGGGACAGTATACTTACTGGATTTCCTTGGCTGAGCTACTCTGAGTGCCAGATGAGTGTGTGTCGGAGCAATTTTTAAATCAGGTGAGAACAGCAAAATAAAAATCATTTCTGATATACTATAAAATTACCTCTGAACATTTTACTTTCTGGCAAACCAGACTCATCTGGCACAGACCAAGCTCCTATCTGTACATAGCTACATCCTGGGCATGTGCACTGATTTGTAATAAATGTGGACAGCCAAAGATTATTTTCATGCCAAAAACTGTACCCTTACCTTAATCCAGAGGGATTTTTGAATTTTATTTTGGCCCATTAAAATTCATATTTTCTTCTCATCCAATAAGTCAAAATATTTCAAATGCAGAGAAACATTAGTTGAGAGAAAAACACCTATCATTCTTAGATTATAAAAATAAATGAAAATCAGACTAGGAAACGATGATATTACAAATACAAATCAGAAGAATACAAAGCAACAAGTAGACAACACCCTATGTTTTCAGGTTGTCTCTCTGCCTCTTTGTCCATCCATCTATCTGTACATACTGTATGTACGTCCGCCCCATTCTCTGAGTGCAATAAATCAGGAACGCCTTAAGGGAATTTCTTCACATTTGGCACAAACGTCCACTTGGACTCAAAGACAAACTGATTAGATTTTGCTGGCCAAAAGTCAAAGTCAGTGACCTCACATCTGTCCCAATTTGACTGGTTGGCGGAAGCATACATCTGCAAAGCGGTAGATCTAATTTTCAGTCTGTTTTGGATGTCAGGTGTATCAATATTAAAGACATCACACAGCTGTTCCCCAGTGAACAATCTGGTCTTCTAGAATATCCTGTTTTGTGCATGTAAACACCATATCCATGTCTCAGAAACCAGCTGCAATAACGCTCTGTGGAATCAAAACAGAACTGCATGCATAGAAATCTGGATACTGTTATGTGTACATAGAGAGATGAATGATCTTGGTGAAGGTTTTAATCTTGTAAAACTATGCATGTAAACAGTCAGAATTCATTTCTTTATTCACAGTTTACTCAAAGAGTGTGATGTACTGCTTCAGTGAAGGGTTGTAGATTAAACATGGGGAACGTCCGGGTTCAAAGCTTCCATGAAGTAGCACATGACATGTTGTTTACTGTAGATGATCAGTGTGTGTGTTTTGACCTGTGGCCCATCAGAGAGGCTCACATTCAGGGAAGAACAAAACGGATTGTGTACTCTTTAAATCTCTTTAAAAACATCTCTGATGAATTCTAATGAATGGACAGATTACCTACACACATCTCTTCTTTAACAAAATCCATATTTGGAATGCGCTTCAAATTTATTTGCTTGTTTAACCCTTCAACTTATCTCACAACTGTTGAATTTTCAGATGGATCTTCATGCTAATTTGACATTCCCTCCTCTCTCTTTTTGTGTAGGAGCTGTCGGGCAGTGCAGGGAGTTTCTGGCTGTGTCTGACAGGGGTCAAGCTGTCTTCTGAGCACAGTGCTGCTCTGCTTCACTAAGGTCTCACCGCGTCCATGTTCACATGGGGCAGCAGTGCTGTGGTCCTCACCGACCTCCTCTTGACAGACCTGGAATTGGTTCAGGAGGATCAAACTCAACTCCTATCCTGCTCCTTCTCCCTCTCCCTCAAACAACATGCACACGCAAACACATGCACGCACATATGCACCGACGCAGAGCCTCCCTGAGCGCCTGCAGCACCCTGCTTAGCCCCTCTTTACCTTGTTCACTCCCTATCCCCCTTTTACCTATTACTCTGTCTATGCAGTCACTCTGACCCCCAACTACAACCTCGGCCTTCCCCCCTACTTCCCGAGAGTGTTGTTTCTCGTCTCCCCCGGGGTATTAGAGGGTTTCCCTGTGCAGTCAGCCTGGCGAGCATGCCTCTTACAAGTGGTGTTGTCAGCTTGGCATCAGTGGCTCACTGACCGGGCTGGACTGAGACCCGAGCTCTCCGTAGACTCGTCCTCCATCCCACAGGACTCTCAGCTCAGGGGGAGGCTCTTACCAAGTAGCCACGCCTCTTCTTCTTTCTTCACGGGCATTTCCTGTTGGACGCACACGTAGCCGAACTGGTTCTGGTTCAGATGGACAGCCATATATTTTCTCTTTCTCTTTTTGTTTTTGGGTTGTTTTTTTTGTTTGTTTGTTCTTTGTGCACACAGTAATCTTGCCCGAGACAGAACTCTCTAATAACTTAGTCATGTACAGACAAACACATGTATGAAACCTGTATGTTAATTAATAAGACCTTATGGAATGTTGGTAATGATAATTAACGAATATTGATAAACTTAAAGTGGTACTTCCTCATGGCTGCATTTCAAATAGGAGTGGAGTGCACTTCACAAGTGTCTAGCTGGAGTTTCCGACCCCAAACTGCTCGCCGACCTAATGACAGCTCTCCCGTTTCTACCGGGAGATTAAACAAGAAAAGCGCTTCCTTTTTCTCTGCTTATTTCCTTTTGTTTCTTGCTCTTTTATTCTTGCCTGCTTTCTTTCTTCCAAACAGGAAACAGTAGCACCAGAAATAGGTCAGCAGGGGAGGAAAGTCGAGAAGGAATCAGAGAATGTAGGTTAAGAAACCCTTCTTTTAGGCTTTATCAGTGAAAATAGAGATGATTCAAGTGCACTTTGCAAGGTTACTCGGTAGAAGTGCACTTTCCAAAGGCTATGTGTGTGAGAAGCAGCTGGAGCAAAGTTGATTGTGTTCGTTTTACTTAAAGGCCTCAGGTGAATTTCAGTGGGACTTATGAATTCATGTTTTATTTTTTCCCCTTCCCACTGAAACTGGTTTTGAGACCTCAGATGTAAAAAAAAAATCTAATCTTCAGCCTGAGACAGTGACATGTCTAATATGAATATGCTTTATAATATATATATATGTATTAGAGGTATATTTTCAGCCAGTGAGGTATCTTCTTCAGAGATGTCAACCATTCCTCAGTTGTATGACGTTATACACACAGTAACGAACAGTTGTAACTTAATTCACTCCCCCATTACTTGACTCGCATCCTGACATGTGTAGAGTACATTTACTATATGCTTTATTCTATTAAATATCATATAAATAACAAAGTCCTTATAAAACAAATGGCCAGTGTAAAGTTCTTCAAGAATTTACTGTTGATTGATCATTGTAACTAAACCAAAGGTTGGCACTTAACTCAGAGAGCATATTTAACATTGCTGTTTTTGATTTGTCATCTAGGTTCAACATTTATTATGGTTTGTTTGTATGTTTGTCTTTTGGGGTTCTGGATGCGAGAGAATGCAGCCAATTGTAGCGCATGAGTCCGCTATGCAAATCACCCTTCCCTCATGATCCTGTATCAAACAGTCAGGAGGCAGTCACACCCGCCCACGGGCGCTCTCGTGAATTCTGGCAGAGACACTGAGAGGATGAGGAGGCCCCATGTTTAATGTTGCTGGTGAACTTTGTTGTTCTGCATCTACTGCTACGTTTCAACCAGTGGAAAGCAAAAAGAGAGCAACAAGGACGGAGAGGGCGAGAGGGAGAAAGACAGTGAATGAATGTACACTCAAGGATGAAAGTGTTTGTGAATGGTCAGAGATAGAAATTGGGGAGAGTGAAGAGTTTACTCCTGAAGATGGTTTATAGTTTGTGGGTGTGTGTAGACTGTGTGTGTCAGTTCTGGGGCAGTGTTGCTCGGGGAAAGAGGGAACCTGTATTTTTGCAATAAAGTTATTACCAATGCACTCCCACAGGGGGCGTAACCACCGTTAAACATGTCTGTGTCATCATTTGTGGAAGAAAAGAAGAAGGGTTGTTCCTGAAATCTTTAAACAGGAAAATTAATCCCCTGTAAATTGTAGTTCAGTGTGTATTTGCTTATAACCAAAAACATTTATTGAACTTGCTTATTCATTTGATTTTAGGGGGTAAAAACATGCAACAGTTCTGCAGAGAGAAAATCCCGTTACCTCAATCAAACCAACTTTGAACAAATTATTATTATTAGAGTTCAAGTTTAGTTGAACTAGTTCATTTCATTTTGCATAAAAAGGTGTTGCTGGTTAGGGTGTTGATTTCTAGGAGGTTGGCATAAGTGTACAGGAAAAAAAAAAACGGGAAAAAACACAAAACTAGAAACATACAATTACAGACATTACAGTTATGGACGAAAAGAAGAGCATGGGGAAATGGAGAGAAGGATGTGGTCAAATGTGAGACAGTAACTCAGCACTGACAAACGAAATTTGCCACAAGAGCATAAAGGCATCAGACAACACACAAAACAATAAAAACCCACATTCTAGCTGCGCCATTACCGTTTTCAGGGCATGCGCATCAAGCAGCAGTTGAATTCGCGCCGGCAGGTGTGTCCATATGAAAGTGGGGTGTGTCTAAATGAAAGTGGGGTGTGTCCATATGAAAGTGGGGTGTGTCCAAATGAAAGTGGGGTGTGTCCATATGAAAGTGGGGTGTGTCCAGGTAAATTTTGGGCGCGTTGGTATGAGGGCGTACAAAGTGACTCACTCACCTGCAAAAACCAGGCCTGTGGTCAACAGTCAAATTATTTCCTGTCAATGGGCGCTTTGAAAGGTCGACAGATCCGTCGTACCATTGCCCACCTGTCAGAAGTTCGTTCATGTTTTCCACAGTTGCATCCGCAAACTCGAGTTAACCACTCAGAATCACCCGCATAGTGTGAATCCAGCTTCCAGGAAATAGCCTATATGACCCATTTGTCTGAGAGCAGACAGCTGTTTGCCAGCGTTGCTGTGCTTTGGGGATGGCGTTAAATGAATCAAAATGCGTCCTCTGTGGATGTTGTTGGTGCAGTTACCAGGATTGTCTGTTCCCGGTAGCTACGGATTTCGTCCAGGAGCAGTTGCCAGCCTTGCAGACAAACAGGTAAGTGGTGCCACGAGAACTAAATGATGTAAATAAATACATGAACAGCGCCCGAACACTGGGTTAACTCTCGTTGGTGTTGATGAAACTGGATCCAACTGAAATGAACTGTGAACTGAATCGAATTCACGCACATCCCCACACACCCACGAATCTTGCTTGAATTCATGCATCGCTTGAAAACTAACAGTGCTTGTCAGTCGCTGTGCTGGATTTGCTGACTTTGGTATATGTAAATCAGTATTATTATTTTGTTAATTGTTTGAGAAGACTCCTAAAAAGAAACAAGTGGCCCTGCAGATATCCTGATCCAGTAAAACCTGCATGCATTTCCTGCACAACAAGTAGATCAACCACAAGCTTGAGCACCATCCTCTGCTCTAATCAGTGGGAATGGCTTCAGTTGAATTTCAAGGATGCACATGAAATGTCCAGGCTGGTGGACATCTTGTCTGTCCAATGTACTGCAGCGTTGTGGGCAGAGACACTTGGTGGGATCCCCCATAATGCTCCTCTGGGTGGGCTGTATATAGTTTGGCAGGTATTGTGTGTGTTCGGTGTGCGTTCTATTGCTGTACAGTTGTCAAAAAGTCATTTAGTGTTTCTTGGTAATTGTTTTGTGTCTCTGTAGTATTTTTGCAATTCTTTGTGCATGTTTTGCTTCTGTTTGTAGTTTGTGTGGTCATTTTGCATCCCTGTTGGTCAGGGGATGCACCTTTTGTGGTCGTTTTGTGTTTTTGGAGTATTTTTGGTTGTTAGGCGTCTCTTTGTGGTCATTCTACATTTCTTTGTAGTCATTTTGCATGTTGTTTGTGTCTCTTTCAATTCATTTGATTGACTTTCTAACAAGAAAGGCTCATGTCCTTGGGCCAAGAAGGTTCTGGGTTTGAGCCCCGCTGACCTGGTTTATTATTTCTCCTTTATTGTGTCATATCAGACATTTAGATGGAAATTTATATGAACATGGTTTAACCATTAGCTTCTGTGAATATGACAATCCCTCCTATGATCATTCTATATTGCCTATGAGTGGTGTCAGGCCATTTAGCAGTTTCTCTGTCTACCACTAGAGGTGAGCAGTGATACAGTGGTGTATCACATGCATTCACTCAGTACTTTGTCACCCACTCATTCACAGAAGACTTGACACAGTCATCACTGACAAATATGCTCACTCACAAATACAAATGCCCTCTTTGCACTAACTCAGAAAGCCTTTTCATGTTAGAGTTTTTCTTTTAAGTTGAAGTGACAAATAAAAGTTGCTCTTGTGAAAGAAACAGAGAATAAAACTTAGAAATCCCTGCTGGTCATAGCAGAGAAAAGATGACAGATCGATAGCCATTACCTTTCACAAACTCCTCTGTCTTGTACAGGGAGAGTACATTTGATGGTTCTTTTATACATGTGTGGGTGCCTGTGTTTTCCTGTTATCCTTTAGAGAACAAGTGACCTGAATTTGGGGCTAGGATGTCTTTGTTAAGTGTAGTGGTCCTCTCCCCTCACTTTAAAGGCTAGAATGTAGGTCAAGGATTAAATTCAGAATCTGTTTCCCTTTCTCTTTGTGCCACATAATCTGTCGTATACTGTAGATGGATAACAGTGACTGGTGAAAAGCTGGCTAATGTACTTTCACATCAACTCCACCATGCGAATTACTAAGTACAATGTTTGAACTTCACTGGGAAAATACTATTACCCATTTCTTTGCAATATCCCCTTTCAAAACATGCGCAATAATAACACAGAAATGTCCCACAAGACATTTTTGTAAGAACATCTCATCAACAGTGTTTTCTTGTGGGACCTGAATAATATCAGGACATTCACTACCAATCAATGGAAACAGGCCTGAATATAAACTGTGTTTTAGTATGTTATAACCCCTCACTACCTCACCAAGCGTAATATCCAACTCCACTATGTGAATTACTCAGTGTGATGTTTGAAGTTCACTGGGAAAATACTATTACCCTATTTTTGTGTATTGTGGTTTTAATGCTTTGTTACCTTGATGTAGCTTTTTTTATTTTAAGACTAAGTGTTCTTTCTGGCCTTTGACTCCTTACCTGACTCCAAAGGAGAGCTGCACAAGAATTCCTATATGCCTAGACTGTCTGTTTATGCATAAATGGCAAATAAAAATCTTGACTTGACTTGAATCACTTGACGGATTGTGTTGGGTTGTGTCTTACACCCAAGCTGCCTGTCACGTAAAGAAGTGCATGTGCAGAGGGCTCACGTGCAGATGCACACTCTCACTGTCTTTAGGAGAGTCATCGTGAGTTAATAATAGTCCACCGGCAGAGGAGGGAGAGGTGCTGGAGAAAACCTGCAGGGGAGGGAGGAAGACATTTCGGTTTTATTTTGACCCCATGCTGCATCCCCAGTGTGACTTCTTGCCTTTTGGCTTTTTTATTTATTTGTTTCTTTTTGTCCGTATGCACCCTCCTTGACTTCTAAACTTTTTCCTTAGATAAATTGGAGTTGTTGTTTTTTTCTTCAAGCCTGTAGTGTTCCTCATTAACTCACCTACACAGGTGTCGCAGGAGTTTTAGCTTTTCTGGACAAATGACTGGAGTTTAACTCAAAACATGCAGAGCCGGTAGTTGTGAATGGCCTTCAGCAAACACCAAAATATTGCAGCTACAGTACGCACATCCCAGACACACAGCAGTGCAACCATAGCAACCATGACTTACCCACATGGCTGTTGCATGTGCAGAGACCGAGCCATTCGTTGTCTGCTTCATTCATGCATTCTTTAATCATTTCTCTTATTAATATAACTTTCATGCGTTCAGCTGTATTTATTATTTAGTGTCTCCACCACATGTTGACATTTTTGGCATGCATGTGAGGGCATTGCATTGACCAGAAAAATAGGAACCTTTCCAGAGCCACTAATCATTTAATAATTAATAAAAAGTAAAAAGTGAACATTATCATCCTCATGAAGGTAAAGGTTATCACACACAAATGATACCATCAAACTGGAATTATTTTCATTTTATTTCTGCAGAATAAAAGTAAAAAGTCCCTCTCAGGGGGTTTAATTACATTTTCTTCAGCTGTCTCGCTGTGATCCCAGAACAAAGTAATAAGTTGTTTTTTTTAAACCTCCTCCTCAGCTTGCAGACAGAGAGAGAGAAAATTTAATGCAGGCTACAGAGTTGGGTTGAAAAACGATTTAAAAAACATGAATAATGGCTTGGAGCTATTTGAACAGGCAGTAATCACTGCAATTATTATTTTTTCAATGCTGGTTTCAGCCCTCAGCAACTTACTTACTCCCCTTTGTGTGTGTTATGTGATGATGGGACTATTCCACTCTTCTGTTAGTGGCCCCGTGTCACAGTAATGCTTGATACCAAGGTCATCCACTTTCTACAAGCATAATGAAACTCCTCCTTTGCCCAGTTCTGTATCTCGCAATTTAAATTTCCACACACCTGTCTTGTTTCATCGTGACCTGCTCCCATATCATTCCACTGCCCCCATCCCCATCTCCTGCAATTTTATTGACAAAAACACTTTGTCATCAGGAGTGACAGGGTTAACCAAGTGGCTGTTGATCAGTATCTCTCACCTCAGTATGGCTTTCTGTTGTGCTTTATTCCAGGAATCCATCTCGTTTACTTCTCATTTAAGCCACCAGCTCTTAGTGCAAGATGGATAACCGCTCCCTGTTGCTCATGTAGCAGACACACTGTTTATAATCTACTGAAACAGTTGATTAAAATTTTACTTGAAGGCAAAAAAAGGTTTTGTCAAACGAAATGAGCAAAGTGATCAAAGACTCAGATGGAGAGGTATTCCTGAACAAACTATACAGTATATGGTAAGTAGTCTATGATAT